TACTGATTTACACTTTTATCGTTTATTTACATCAAATAAGAAATCATGAAAATAGAAATGAAAAAATGGTGATCAAAAGTATTGTTTTCTGGTGATCAAAAGCATCTAAGTTTTTTGGTGATCAAATGTATCTAAAGAGTTGTGGTGATCAAAAGTACTTTTTCCCAAATTAATTGAACACTTCATCTCTAGAGTTCGATTTACTTGCTAAGGCTTTCCTATTGTCATAAACGTATCATTTCAAAATATCATATATAGTCTAATGCAAAATTGAATTTTTCCTATGCAAATATTAAAGATGAAGTTTGTCAAAGAAAACTATTCGGAAATTGTATCTGCTTAATATTCTCATACATAAATGGTTGCTGATTTTTCTTGAAAAGTATAAATCTGTTTTATTGTATATATACAAACCTCATCATAATCAATTTCAAGTAGTTGATGCATATCTCGTTCATTATTTTTTTTTCGAATGGACATTAATGCAAGAGCACAAGTTGCTACATCAGGATGATGATGATGAGTGAGAGACTAAAGAAGAATTACATATAATCTTCAATAATAAAATTTATTCAAATTATTTTACTTCTATTTCCCATAATGAACTTTCAATAGCATTTGTTTTGTTTGGATCAAGTTCTTCAGATGAATAGATATCTTTATTTGTACCTATTGTTTGAGATTGTTGTTTATCAATCATAATTCGAATTGTTGGATGTCTTATAATTAAATTATATATAAATGTTATAATTAAACATTGATCATGTTGAGGTATTAATAGAGCTAATCGAGCAAGACGTTTAGCAAAATTAGCAACTAAATTTACTGGTAAATGTCTAAAAGAAATATTTAAGAAAATATATTTATTTTTAAAATCAAAAAAAATATAAATAATCAACATACGATGATTGTAAAAATATATCAAGTAAATAAAAAAATCTTGCTTTATATTTAGCACTAAATAAATCAATTGTTAATAATGAATAAAGTTTACCAAAAAAGAATGGATATTCAAGATTATATTGTGTCATTAATACATATAAACCATGTAGTGCAAGAATTTTTGATGCATTATTTTGTGTTTCATATGAACCTGTCAAAAAATCAGCTAGAAGAAGTGGATTGACCATACGTGGAATTATTTTTGTTGGTATTTGTAATAGAATTCGACGATATAATGTTGCATCGAGCTAGAAAATAAAATATTGTTTACATTATTTGCATAATAATATTCATCTCATAATAATAATTTGAACAATTAGATTATATAAAAGGTGAAATCTACTATATTAAGAAATTACGTATTTAAACTGGACTAGAACATTATTTTTCAATTAAACTTATTCACCAGGACTTCTCGAATTCTAACGTAGAAATATCTTTAATTTAACTCTTGACCTCGAAACAGTCATTGATGTTTAAATTTACAAAAAACACCATTGAAAAATATCGAACCATATAATTCACAACTAATTCTATGTTAGTTGTAGAGAACTTTAAGTACTATTGATTTTCTAGAAAACCATGATGTGTCCAATTGATAAGTTTGAAAAAATAAAATCTTCCTTAGAAATCTTTTCAATTTGTAGGCAAAACACATACTGAAAATGCGCTGTGCGTAGAGATGTGCGAGATCAAAATTTGGAAGTTTGTTCACAACTAATGTATCAAATATATTTCACAAGTTTTCCAACACCTTGGCACATAAGAAACATTAAATCATTCAATAGACTCTATAAGGACCATTGAAAAGAACGATATATACAATACATTAGATTTTTGTAAATCTTGAAACATTAGAAGTCGAACAATATATTTATTGTCGATAAAATACGTTCATTGATTCGATTATTTCTTAATTTATCTTTTCTAACAAAAAGACAAACGACAAATGCTACTATTGTTTACTCAAAGCTATCATTGTAAAAGAAAAAAATTAAAAATTTTCGAAATTATCTTACGAGGGAAGTACCCCAACTGTCAAATCGCTTTCGAGTCGGGAGTGTGTGCATAATGTAGGTCCTAATGAGTTATGAATACCCTGAAAAGGATTCGTGCTGCTAGCTTATTGCGGCCGCGATATTGCATTTTTACGGTATTTTTAAATAGAAAGCCGTAGTGCCCCTCAGGAACATGAGGAAAACTGATTTTCGAATTTCGACTCGAAAGCGATTTGACAGTTGGGGTA